ATATTGAAAGTGAAAGAAAAAGAAAAAAAGGAAAGAAAAGGCTGAAGTATTGGGATCTTCTCATTATGAGTAGCCGCCGGCTTGCAGGCGGTCTACCTGAGAGAACCAGGAACTTCAGGGGGAAAAGAATGGGGGAGACGGGGAAGGGAGCGGCCCCGCGCTTACTGAGCGCCCACCGGATGCCGTACACGGTGCTAAACACTGAATGTGCGTCACCTGTGTCGGCGCCATCGCCCTGGGGGCCTGTGGACCCGAGGCGGCGGCCCGCCCGGGGCGCCCAACCGGGAAGGTTGGACATCGCACCCAGGTTTGCCGCACGTTCAAGATTCTGTGTCAGTCGTTACAAAGGAGCAAAAGTGTGAGGTCATCTTCAGTGCTTATTGAGCATTTTGTGCTGGACATGGTGCTGAGTGTTCCAGACACGTTATCTTGTTGGTGCAGCTTTATATGGAGGGAGGCTAATGATACCCATTTTATACGTGAAAACTGAGCTCAGAACACACTGAAGGCAGGATTCTTGCTCTAGAGTGGGAAGAAAGGAGGTGCCTTTGGCTGAAGTATCCCCCGTCTCATTAATGGTAGGTAGTCACAAAAACACAGTGATGTAGATACTGCCGTTATTTTTTTTTAAAGATGAAAAAAATCGAGGCTTAGGTTAAGAAATATTCCCACGTAAGCAGGGGCTCAAGCCCCGTTCTTACTGCTGCAGAGGCCAGTGTTCTTATTCTACACTAAAGGCAGAGTATCGGCCCAGGTGCGTGGTTTCAAGGGAAATGGGACTTGGGAGGCGAGAGGGATGATCATGACTTGGGATTAACAAGGAAGATTTAGCTGAGCAGGTCGAACGGGACTTGAGATTAGCCAGGTGTGCTGAATCTGGATAGTTTGGATAATAGTCTCAAGACCAGGTGGTTAACGGTTAACCACCCAGTGGTCGGCAGACTGCGGCTCGCGAGCCACATGCGGCTCTTTGGCCCCTTGAGTGTGGCTCTTCCTAAGCCTTAGGAGTACCCTAATTAAGTTAATAACAATGTACCTACCTATATAGTTTAAGTTTAAAAAATTTGGCTCTCAAAAGAAATTTCAATCGTTGTACTGTTGATATTTGGCTCTGTTGACTAATGAGTTTGCCGACCACTGGACCGTTAACCTAATCTAAACCATGAATGACAGTCTTTTCTTTGGGTGGCTACAGCTTGTTTGAGTAAAAACAATTGAGTATTGTTTTAAAAAAAACCTCTTACAGCCCGGCAGGTGTTGCTCAGTGGTTGAGCGTTGACCTATGAACCAGGAGGTCACAGTTCGATTCTCCTGTCCAGGCACATGTCTGGATTCATACCTGGGTTGCATGCCTGGGTTGTGGGCTGGATCCCCAGTAGGGGGTGTGCAGGAGGTAGATGATTCTCTCTCATCATTGATGTTTCTGTCTCTTTCCCTCTCCCTTCCTCTCTCTGAATTCAATACAAACAAAAAAGTCCAGCCGGCAGGGCTCAGTGTTTGGGTGTGGACCTATGAACCAGGAGGTCGCCAGTTCTATTCCTGGTTGGGGCCCGGGTCCCGGTTGTGGACTTGATCATGGTATGGCTCCCGGTGTGGGAGGCAGCCAATCAATGATTCTCATCATTGATGTTTTTATCTATCTCCATTCCTCTCTGAAATCAATAAAAATATATTTTTAAAAAGAGGAAAAAAACCCAAACACATCTTACAACTAAAGCCATTTTTTGAGAAGTAGCAAATGAGCCACCTGCTCCTTTAATTTTATTTAAACTTAAAGTTTTGGGGATAGGTAATACAGTTACATGGTACATAATTTAAAATGTACAGGATATACAGTAAAGTATCTCCCTAATAGTCCTAACCATCCTTCCCCATCTCCGAGGCCATGACTTTCTTATGTATCTTTCTAGAGTTATTCTATGCATCTACAAGCAAATCATAGTTTCTTTCTTATAAGTAGGATCATATTATTCATTGTTCTCCAATTTGCTTTTTCACTTATTGCACATTATGGATCATTTCATATGCATTCATAAAGAGCTGCTCCATTCTTCTTAAAGACTATATAGCATTCCATTACATGGAACAGTATCCATTGAGCAATGTATCCATGAGACATTATTGTTTTAGTCTGTTCAGGTCATGTTCTGGTGAGGACTTTCTTCCTGTCTTTCAGATGGCCACATTCTCACATTTTCACTGTGCGCTCACATGGCCTTTCCTTGGTGCATGTTGCGGGGCGAGAGGGGGAAAGTGGGGGAGAGATGGGGGAGAGAAAGAGATACAAATTGTTCTTCTCAGATGTTGCAATTTTTACAAATTGAAGGCAAAATCCTCTGCTAGCAAAAAGATTACAGTTCTGATTCTCATTTTATTGAGGTGGTCTAGAAGCTGTTAAAAAAAAATTCAACTTCCACAGCTGAACATCTTTTAAAAAAAAAGGGTTGTCCTGCCAGGTGACTTAGTTGGTTGGAGTGTCATCCCATACACCAAAAGGTTTTGGGTTTGATTCCCTGTCAGGGCACAACCTAGGTTGTGGGTTCCACCCTGGTTGGGGCGCATACAGAGATGTAAGTTGTTTGGAAAGAATTTACATTGGCTATACAGATAAAGGGAGAGGGAGAAGAGGAAGGGGAGCTAGTTCTGGGATAAGCACAATCTGTAAGGAGGAAGTGTTTG